AATCAATTAGATATCAGGTAATATTATACTATTAGAAATTTAGGATTAAACTGAAATAGGAAAAATTTCTTAAGAAAACTGTGAAAAACAGTAGACATTTTAAGAGGATAAAAAATAGTATATGAGAAGATAGATAATAAGTCTTTTCTTATTAACAAAACCTTTATTTCTTGTCACTTCCAGCTCTGTAAGGTGACACTTTACTTGTCAATTCTTTTTTTTCCTAAAACTTTTTTGCTCTTAATAAAGAAAATACATATTTGAGTTTATTCCAGTCATTAGAAGCTTAAGTTTTTATTCAAAGGAGTTTATAAACAAGTAAAAAAGGATAGGAGAGATAAATTAAGACAAGCTTCAAGTTATTTTAGTAAAAATATAAAAACTTTATTAGTAAAAAAGTATAGAACTTCTTGTAAATATCTTTTTTATATATATTTAGAGAATTAGTGGAAAGCATTTTTGTTTTAATTAGAGTTTTATTTTATAAATATTAAAAAATAATCTTAATATTTATTTTTTATATTTTTTAAAAAAAATTTTTAAAACTAATTTCAAAAAGTTTTATTATTATTAAAAATTTAATTTTTTTTTTAAAGGATTAACAAAGTCCAATTTATTGAAGTTGATATAATGGTCTTACAATATTAATCTAACTGATAATTACAGAACAATTCTATAATCAATCTTATGCTAACCATAGCAAGTTATATTCATTCTACCATTATATCCATAAACCTGATTATAATACCTTGTGTACTCCCATGGCTTGTTACTGAAAAAAACCCTACTATCCTACTATCTATGTCTGTATTACCTTTTCTTAACCCTTATATCTATAGATCTGGGTTTATAGCACAGAATCCCTTTTATATCTCATACTGCTAAATATTCTTTTTATAGTATTTATTACAGTATATCTACAAAATATCTATATGAAATCTTAGATGTCATCTTATCCCATCAGAATACTCTTTTTATATAACCCATTACCATCTACCTATGGAGTAATTACATGAAGTCTTGAATGGATATCAATTTTAGTAGAAATCCTCTTCTAACTAATATACTTAGGCTTCACTAGTTTTCTTAATTTTATAATATACAGATCTTCAACCTATCAGTAGGAGCTTAAAAAAATCTATTTTGTAATAAGATAACTTTAGTATTAAAATTGGCTAAAGTATTTTGTGATCTTTGGATACTCTATGATTAGATGGGATCTTGGTCAAAGATGATTAGATCATTATTATGGAATGAATGGATTCTTCTTATACTATCTAGGCTTGAGTGGTATTGCCTTGCAATAGTATTGAATTCAGAAACAGTACTTGGTGACCTGGAAGCACTACCATTGCACTATTGACTCACAAGCTATATTATTATTAAATGTTTTTATTAATTATTATATAATTTATTATAATTATTAATTAAAATTATTTAAAAGTAAAAATTTAAATAATAAAAAATTTTTATTAATAATAAGACTTTAAAAATAGATAAAAATTTTTTTAAAAAAATATAAAATTAAAATTAATATCAAAATATAATATACACAAATTTTATAATTTTTTGATTATATATAATAATTAAAGATTTAAAAATTGATAAAATTCAAATTTATAATAAAACTATAATAAGTGAACTTAAAAGTTAAAAACAACTATATTTTATATTAATCAATTATTTTTAATAAAATTTGTTATTTCAAAATTTAGAATTAAATTAAGATAAATAAAAATTTTTTGAAAATAATAAAGTAATTGTAAAGATAGTAAATAGAAAAGTTTTTAAGATCAAAAAAATCTTTCCACTAATCCTTTGATTATACATAAAAAAGATGTTTGCAAAAAATTTTTACATTATTTTGCTAATAAAGTCTTAACACTTTCTTTAAAACAATTTGAAGTATGACTTCAAGAGTTGCTTTTACTCTTTCCTTATTGTCTATAAATCTTTTCACTCAAAAGTTTGACTTCTAATAATCAAGAAAAGTTAAGTGATACCTTTGATATCAATAGTAAAAAAGTTTTCAAAAAAAGAAGAACTGATTGTAAAGTATTTAAAGACCTTTCTAACCTTTGAAGCAAGAGATTTATAGAGATTTTTTGCAGTAAAAAGCTTATTTTCTCCCTTTTTAACTATTTTGATCCTCTTAGAACTTCTATTTTTATAGTTTTTTGAAAAATTTTGTTTATCTCAATTTGATCTTGAATTTTGGATAATACTGTATAAATCCTTATTAAAGATAATTGGTTGATATGAAATATATTAGTTTTTGAAATGTAAACAAAATTTTATTGATTACACTCATGTGTTTTGATATATTATTGGTAATGTAGAAAAAAAGTTTTAGAAAAAGTGTTCTCTTCAATCATGTATGTTCAATCTTCAGAAAACAATTATAATATTGAAAGACAAGTAATGAATAGGAAAAGAAGATTCAATTTCTATTTTTCATTAAGTTCCTTAGATAATAAAAAGACTTTCTTGAACAAAAGCCAAGATCTCCAGGCTTTTATTTTAGTTAGATAAAATTCTTGAAAAGATTTCTTTATCCTGATCAGGTAAACCCTTTCATAATATAGTAGAGGCTTCAGTAGTATTAAGTAAATCCATATATCAGTAGAAGGATAAATTCCTTAAATATTCTTCTTGAAATTATTTTCAGGAATAGTTAAGTTTTTTAAATATTATGAAGCTTAGAAAATATTCCAATTAGATAAACCCTTTTTGAGAGAAAACTATAAAATGGAGTAAGAATCTTTTAAAGAACTTTAAGTTATATTTTTCTTTTTACTTTTTTCTAGTATAAACTTTAGCAATTCATCATTTTTTGGGATAAATAATAGTGACAAACTGTTGGCAATAATCCTGATTGACTTAGAGGTACTATATCAAGCTACTAGGAAAGCATAATATTGTTTCCTAAATTTAATTTAGAGTATCTAGTTTAGACTTAGTTTTGTTTAGTTCAAACTAACTTAATAGACTCGTATAGTCCTTTAACTAATAACATACAATAATGAGTTAGTCACTTTGCGAAAGTTTGTAAATATTGTGATATCTTTCAATATCTCAATAAAGACATGTTATTGTGACATGATTGCAAGTTAAAAAAAAAAAAAAAAAAAAAAAAAAAAAATTTTTAAGATTTAAACTTATATTTATCTATTTTTTTATTATAAAAAATCTTTATATATCACTTTTGCTTTAGAAAAAAAAATTTTTTTAATAGTATACTATTGATTTTTCATTTTTTTTTTTTTTTATAAAATTTTCTTGCTTTGAATAGAAAATAAAGATATTTTTTTAATTACCAAAAGACAAATTTTTATGAAAAGAGAGAGAAAAAGTAAAAATGATTTTTGAAAAATCTATCAAATTGTTTTAAAGAAACTTTTTTCTGTGTTGTCAAAGTATCAATAGAAATTCAATTATTTTTAAAAGTATATCAATAACCTTATTTTATAAAACTTTTTATTAGATTTAATCTAATGATTATTAATGTACAGTATACTCAATTTATTATTATTTCCACTCTCTATGTGGTGTTTTAGCTAATAAGATGACATGGCCAACTTATTAGAAACCGTTCAAGAAGTAAAAAGACCTTTTACTGCTTTGTTCTCTGGGCTAGTTTATGTTATTTAGAGGCCAAACCAGCCGCTTATCAAGAAAAATCAATTAATCTCACATTAATTACTCCGAAAGTAAATTTGTCAAAAAAAAGTTCTAAGAAGCAAGCACTGAATAGGCGAAATAGTCCATTTAACTCACACTCATTATTTTAAGAAAAATCTCTAGCGCCTTTAAAAGTAAGATTTTAGTTGTTTTTAGTTTGATAAACTAGATTTAGATACGTTATCGATTTGATCCATTAATAATTTTCTTTGCGTCATTGATCTTTCATACCCACCACCTTCAACATTCACAGCACATGCACACAAGCAGGGAATATACACCTCCGCCGCTATGCAAACTAAACTAACCACACTCGCCCAAGTTAGCTCCTTGGAGTTGTGGATGTGTTTGATTGAACGAGAAGCCGAAGCGTCTTGTTCTACAACTGTCGCTTTTGAATTAGGCTGCTTATAAGATGATCCTAACACTAAACGGTTTGTTCTTTCGGTGTTTCTACCGACTCCATTTTTGGATTGTATGTTTTGCTCTTGAACGGAACCTTCTTGTTTGTGTTTTTTGCTGTAGATTTCTAAACGCCCTTTCTTCGATTATAAATTTTTTACTCTTCACATTGCGTCAAATTGTTTTTAAGCACTTTCTATGAAACGATTAGTCACATGCAATTACGATTATAGCAATTTAGTGATTCATCACTTTGCTTTTTATTTGGCACGTGAATTGAATAATTGACGCCTATAAAACATTATTATATATTCTTTTTTGGAAGATAAGAAATTTCTCTTTGGAGCGAGAAGATATGGCTTACAATTACAACCCGAATCAACCTTACGGTCGTCCACCACAACAGAGTCAACAAGCTAGTTACCCATACGGCCAGCCACCACCTTTCCAACAACAACAACAACAATATAGTCAACAATATCAACCTCCGCCTCCACAGAGTATGTTCATTAAAGAATTGATTTAAAGAGGCAAAAAACTTCCTAATAACACCCACCTCACTTTCGTAACAGACCGACCCAACTCACTAGGCCCACCAACTCAAGTACCCCCGGGTGCAGACCCTCAACTATGGTTCTGGTTTCAAGCCGTGGATACCGACAAGAATGGGGCTTTGACCACCGAGGAATTACAAAAGGCTTTAATTAATGGTACTTTATTTTGATCACGTTCCATCATTTGTTAGGATTTCAATGACATTCTTTACTTCCAATATAGGTGATTGGAGCCCGTTCAACATGGAGACTGTTCGGTTAATGATGAATATGTTTGATACTGGTGCGTCTTCAGATGAGATTAAACGTAGAAGCATTTGATCAAAGTGTTGTGCGTAATATTAACAATAACCCATTGGCGACCATACATTCCCCCAATTTTTTTTTTTTTTTTTTTTTTTTATAATCAAGATAACACTGGCACAATTGCTTTTAACGAATTCTCTGGTCTTTGGAGATACATCGAAGATTGGAAGAAATGCTTCACAACTTTTGACGCCGATGGATCTGGCACCATTAATTTCTCAGAACTCAGAACTGCTTTGAAGACTTTTGGATATAATTTGAGTGATAATTTTATTAATCTCCTTATCAAGAAATACGATAAATATGGTAAGACCTTCGAATTTCACTTGTAATCAATTGATCGAAGTTTTAAAAGTCATTAACGGGTCTAAAGCGGGCGCTAAAAATCCATCAGGAAGAGGAGATGTGACATTTGATAATTTTGTGGTACGCATCCCCATTTGTGATCTCGAATTTACTACGGTGTTTCCAATGCTAAAAGATTCTTAAATATTTGGATTTAGCAATCTTGCGTTACCGTTAAAACTCTTACGGACGCTTTCCGTCGCTACGATAACGACAACGACGGTTGGATCACGATTAATTATGAACAGGTAATTTTGTCATTGATTTCAGTAGATATATATTATATATATGTGCGTACGTATATGGTATTACCATTTATGTTATTCTAAATTAATGTTTATTGTCTTGTAGTTCTTGGAATTGGTAGTTAATAATCGATAAGATGGATAATGGTGATCATATTTATTTATGTAGAATCTTGAAAATCTTGAGAGGATTACATACTTGTATTTTATGAATGATCTAGTTTTGTCTCTATTTTTATATCGAACCAATTAAAGCTTGTCTTTCTTGTTCCGAGTACGTGTCATCATCATCTGCTAATCAGTGATTATCGGATGTGTGCATAAATGACGTAATTTACAAAGATATATATATATATCTACAGTATGCATGTATGATAATATAAAAAAAAAACCAGACCGTTTACCATGGCGGTTGAATCTAAATTAGCGACGCAACCTCCTCTCTCACCTTTTGGCGATGCAGTGGCTGGAGCGTTAGGTGCACTGCTCGCATTGGCAATAACGTACCCATTAGACATGTATGTTCGATTTTGAAACTGGAGAAAATTTTTTATTCCTACGTTTCACAGATTTACAAATATTTCGAAGACTCACTCACTGTACATGATCCAAAATTTCTTTTTCCTTATCCAATGGACTTGGATGGATAGAATAAAAACGCGACTTCAAGTACAATCTAATAAATCCTCGTCAGCTAAAGCCCGCGATGAACATTATGATTCAACGTCTGACGCCCTTCGTAAGATTATATCGAACGAAGGAATATTAGGGCTTTATGCAGGATTACCCGCTGGACTTATTGGTGTAGCATCCACGAATTTTGCATATTTTTACTGGTACTCATTCATTCGCACTCATTATCAACGAAACAGGCCAGCATCATCATCAACAGCTGCTGAGCTCGCACTGGGCGCTCTTGCAGGAATCCTCGCCCAGATATTTACGATTCCAGTCTCGGTTATTACCACTAGACAACAGACAGCGGAGAGAACTGAGCGAAAAAACCTGATTGGCACAGCGAAAGAAATCATTTCTGAGAGTGGGATCACTGGATTATGGAAAGGAATAAAACCATCAATGGTATTATGTGTAAATCCCGCCATCACCTATGGTGCTTTCGAAAGATTCAAGGACATCTTATCAAAAAGGAGTAATACGGGTGATCTCTCTCCCGGTGTCATCTTCTGTCTTGGGGCACTTAGTAAGACCATTGCCACGATAATAACTTACCCCTACATCATGGCAAAAGTTAGATTACAATGTAAACCACCAAGCGAAGTGGTGTTGGTTGACACAGAGAGCAAGAGAAATGGCAATTTAGGAATAAACTCGAAGAGGACACAAAGAGAGATATATAGCGGTGCGTTAGATGTATTGAGAAAAGTTTTGGAGACTGATGGAATCCAAGGGTGGTACAATGTAATTAACAATTCGACTTTAAAGATATTGAATTTCTTCCAAACCGATTTACCGAGAAGCTTTCTTTTTTTTTTTTTTTTTTACAGGGGATGCAAGCACAGATTACAAAAGCCGTACTCTCTCAGGCATTACTCTTTTATATGAAAGAGTATACCACTCGATATACTATTTTTATTTTTGCATTGTTAACCCGTCTTTCAACTGGTCGCCTTCGGAGCATACCAAAAAACCAATAAAATTGTATTTTTGCCGATTACTTTTCTGAGTAGATAGCTCATCGAAAAGTGAATTGTAACCTCGTTATTATATTATTATTAGATTTTAAAATTAACCTGAACATGGTTCTCAAGATATATATATATATACAAAGAAACATCACTCTAAATGTCGGTAAATTAATAATAATAATAACAATAATAATAATAATAATAATAAAAATAATAATTAATAGAAACAATAAAAATAAAAATGAAACTTGTAAAAATTATGATGTAATATAAATATACTGCGTGTGCAGTGAATGTAATCAGACGAGTTTTGAGATGGTTGTTGATTTGATTTCTTCTATTTCATGTTTATATATATATATATATTTTTTTTTTTTTTATCTTCCAAATCGTATGTGTATTCGGCAAAAAATGAATACCACCTAGCCTCACCACCAGGTTCAAACTGCTGCTGTCTCATTTCCCCTTTTCCCACTCTAGATACAACTTTACAACATTAAATCGCGAAACTTAAAAAGATTCCAATACTAAATTATTATTATCATTAGTACTATTATTATTATTATTATTACTTTCGATTTTCGATTCTCTGTTTGATTTTTTTTTTTTTTTTTTTTTTTCTTTTTTCTTTTTTCTTTCTCCTAGAGTCGGCGACACACCTTGTTCACGCCCTGTTTGTGTATATCTGTTAATGGTTTTTTGTTTCAAATTTTCAAATTAATATATTACTGTACTGTACATTCGGGATTCTTGATCCTGAGAGTATTGTGGATAGAATTATTACAGCATTCCCGTGCATCCCTATTCTTCCGCGTTCCGTCTGGTCGTGCCTCCCGAAAAGATCATATGGCCATGGATCTTCTGTATCTCGAGTGCGGCAACAATTTTGTTATCCCGGAATCAAAGATCGCGTACTTGCGCGCCAACTTGGCACGTTTTGATTGAATGACCACCAAGGGAATCGGAACTACCTCACACAAGAAGCCGACCAGATCCAATACCGCGTAAATTACAACGGGTCGATGTTGCTGCGTGATGAACCACAAGATCACTATTCATCGCATTGACAGAGGTCGCGGAGTGGAAGGTGGGAGAAAAAAAAAAAGAGATGCATTTCCGGGGAACGGGAACACGGATGTGATGCACGGTTTTATTTAAAAAAAAAATGAGTGGACATATATCTAAATAAATATAGAGAGATGTCAAACAATTCGCTCATTTGGTCACTCACCACAAATGCCATACTGCAAAAAACTTCCTATATTCCAAAATGTGAGGACTATCAACAATGTTGCCGGAGGGCAAATAAGATCCTTCTTTCCCTCATATGTATACCAATCGTATGCTCTGCCCACGCGTTTTTGCGCCTCCTTAACATCTGACGGATACTCTTGCTCATCCCATTTGCGACTTGCCCTATATATCTTGATCGCCCTTGGAAAGTTGGCTAACCTTTTTGGATGCGCGAATAACGTGAAAAGCGTAAATTCGGCATTTATGACCTGCATGTTTAATTAGATTCAATCCATATTTAGATGGAGGGAAGAAGAAGTAGAACTGTATAAATTTTAATTTTTCCATGTTGCACACGCACCATTAAAAATTAATTAATTAGGACTTTCCTGCAACAAGCATTCCACCCAAAATTCCTTCCTTATCCTTGTAAGAATGTGAATCACGTCCACCAGGATGAGGATGTATAGGGTCAAAGCAAGTGCAAGACGAAAATATGCAAGAATATCAAAAATCCTTTTGCCCCGTTTGAATAATGACTGGCATACGTTCGTGCATCCTTCTTCACTGCACAAATGGGATTTCTCGACGTTGCTGACCCCAAGGGTTTGGGTGCCAACATCCGACGTTGATTTTCTACGTGGTTTCTCGAGGTACTTCCTCGAGGGCCCAATTCCGCCTCCTTTTTCTGACGGATAGACTAACGAAGTTTTCATTTATACACCAGACTATATTTTTGTACACATATGATCTTGCGTTTCCGAAATTTATTGGAGGCGCGATTACAAAACGAAATTTATTGGAGGCGCGATTACAAAAAAAAAAAATGTTCTTTGTTTTTTTATTTTTTATTTTTATTTTTATTGTCTTTTTTTTTTTTACTTTATTTTTTTTTTTTTCACTTCTTTTTTTTTTTTTTTTTTTTGAATTACTACTTTATGTAAATTAGTGAATGGATCGCATAGTCTTACTGGATATCAGATACTTTAAAAAAGGTGGTATTTCAAGATTTGCACGCGAGAAAGGAAAAGCATTCGCATTTCGACATACTGAAAAAATTAAAGATAAAAAAAAAAAAGGAAAAAGCCTCAGATGACATTCTCGATCCCAACGCTGAAGAGTGGCTTTTTTAATGTTCCCTTTAATCAATTTCCAAACGTGGCCACGGCGGAGATACGGAACCACGCCTTTTATAGATTTGTTCTACGACACGCCTCAGTTTTCCGCTTTCCCGACAGACCATCATAGTGAAGAAACCAGTTGGAACCGGGCCAAAGCCAGAACGCGCAGCTTGGTAACGCTCAGCAGGTGCAAATTTGCCGCGCCAACTCGTGGAATGAGCTGTCAAATTATCCTTCATTGTTATCCTTCATTGTTTTTTTTTTATTTTCCGTTCATCCTCTCGCACGCATGCCGAATGTTGAATTATCTCTCATATTAAATCTGGATAATGCAAAGAGGTAACTTCATTTACTATATAATTCAATGAAACGACTCTCACCTTGTCCATTGACAATTGTGATCGACATCATCACGCAACAGCAATTTCAATGCCCGTTTATTCTAGCAGTGGCAAAACTATGTGCAAAGAATGCAATCTGCAAGGGTTTGGCGAAGTGTGACGGATTTTGATTTTATTGATTTTATTGAATCACATGAAATTCAACTCTTACACGTCGCGCGTTATTTTCGCGTCTAGCTTCCAGTTTTCACTAATCAATAGTTTGGTTGTTATTAAAAAAGCATAATGCATAGGAAGAAATCAAAAATTTTTTTCTTTAATAATAACTGTATACAAGGTTGATTTTTTTTTTTTCCTTTTTTTTTTTTTTTTTTTTTTTTTTTAAAAAAAAAAAAAAAATTAAATTATTTGTCAAAAAGATAATAAAAGGCATTGGGTATCTAAATAAACGCCTAGACCTATATTCAGATACCGACACCTACCTCGCAATTAGAACCAACAAACAAATGTATAATTTCATAGCTTCCGATCAACACGGGATACCAATAAGATACTAATATAATAATAATAATACATGATGAAGATGTATACAAAAATACAAAAAATTTCTATACAAGGAAAAGGTGTGCCGTGTGTCTTGTCACACCAATAAATTAAGTTTTCTACAAATAGATGATGATGGTACACCAGCAAAAAAGGAATCCCCACAAATGTCGATGATTTCGATAAAGAAAAGAAAAAAAGAAAAAACATCAGGTCATATCCACAGGCATTATCGTACCATAATCGCTGTTGGTTATAGGTTCGTCGTCTTCAAATTTCTCGTTGACGAAGCGATTATTCCCTTTACCATTTTGCACATACTGAAGATCTAACACCAGCTCTCCGTCACCAAGAGTCTCTTCGACCATCACAAACGTCAACCCGGATGCAGGCAACTGAGTAACATCATCTCCAACATCATTGCTGACGTCGGATATGGAAAAAAATGTGGTGTCAGAGCTAGAAACGCTTCCCTCCGTTTTCTGTGATCTCCGACGAGACGCCTCTACCTCGTCGGCATAGTCCGGATCGAGATCGTCGTCGTCAGGAAATTCAACCGATTCGCTGGGTGGCATCAAGGTGACCTTCGATTTCGGGTTTGTTATTATGTATCCATCCTTTCTGACGGGCGGTGATTCTGGTACTGGGGGTAATGGAAGATTTGGCGGCCGTGATGGAGGTGGTAAGGGTGAATACGTGACCGATGAAAAGCGAGGTGGGGGGGACTTCGGACGAAGAGAAACCTTCGAATTTGGCGAAAGAGACACTCGTGGTGCAACGCTTTGCGTCCTCAATGTCTTATCGCGTAAAGAGTCATTATGAGTCTGTGAAACCCGAGGAGGTGGAATAGGTTGTCTGTTGTGTGATGGGGTGATGGTTATCGGCCTGGGAGGGGGCAGCGGCAGAGGGATACTTGGCGGAGGACCAATGCTACTGAGTCGTGAGTCAGATACGAGAGAAGCGACGCGAAGGGGAGGAGGAGAGATGGTGCGTTGTCCAGATCGCGCGATGGATGAGCGAATTCGAGGCGGTGGACGAGGGGGGGAACGTGGTGGTGGCACCAATGATGTTGAAACAGGTGAAGATAAACTGGGCGTCGAATTTGGGGATGAGATCCAAGAAGGCATTATTATTGGTATACTCTGTCGAATAGTGGAAGACGCTGGTCTGTTCGATCTTTGAGATTCGGGTGAAGATGGAGGCGACCGACGAGATTCCATAAAGGTGTTGACCGAACTAATCGAACCTGATTGTTGTCTCATATGGGCAGGTCTTTCGTAATGTAGTGTCAACATATTTTGCCCGTACCGTGTTCTCGGCGGTGACAACGTTTCGACCGGTGAGGACGGGCGTAGGGGTGGTTCTAATTCCAGCGGACCGATGAACTCGTTGACATCATATAATTGAGGTGATGAAGGGTACGACGAATTTTGCGCCGATCTTGGTCTCGGTGGGGGTGGTAATGACGTTACCATCGACGGCCTCGGCGGTGGTGGCAGTGATACCTGATCTATGGTAACATCGACGCCATCCATTAGATCGGTCTCCGCGATAGATTGTACAGGTGATATCCTTGTTTTTGTCGATATGGTGGAATCGTCTTCAATTGTCTCCTTGATGGGATCAACTGATGCGCCTGATAATTCTTCGCTATTTTCTTTGCAACAACTTTTTATGACACGTTTTAATTCTATCATCCACTTTTTCATATCACCGACATTATCAGCCTGCAGATACCAAGGTTTCTGTCCTTTATTAACTTCCAGTACCCAGTCCCTTCCAGTGAAAGAATCACTAACATATACAGCTGTTTCTGATGTCAATTCAAAATTGTCTATTGGAGATGCTAATGATTCGTGCGACTTGAAACAGTACAAAGTGTTCTCGGTGAGGATAAAGTATCTCCTTTTCCAGGATTTTGACAGGAATTTTGCATTCTTGTATTTTGCCATATAACCCTTGTGCACTAAACTATTGTTAAAGCTCGAAACGGGGGTTGAGCCACTGATCCTAGGTTTTGAATTAACTTCATCCCATCCCAATATCTTTCCCGCCTTCATTATTCTTGACCTTTCGTCGGGAGAGAGTGGTATCCCAGAAAGTTCGAAGCCATTCTCACCTGTACCACTATTTGAGACAACTTGAAATCCGGAGGTCCCACGCGGTCTCTTGATTTTACCGGTCGGAGGTTTATCTAATAATATTTTCTCCTCTACAGCAGTTAGGCCAAGAATCTTGCCAACTTTTGAAGGTTTTTCACCACTCTCCGGTGAACTTAATCCAGGATCATAGCCTAAATATAAAGAAAGTAACGATCTCTCATCGGAAATGGTTGTTGATTTCGAACGATTCTTTCTCAGCGAAAGTGAAGATAATTTCGTGCGTCCCAAAATCTTATCTGCTTTCGACGGTGATGTAGGAGGGTATTCGGTTTCGGGTTCCGACAGAGATCCTCGGGTCGAATTCTTTGGTGATATTGATGTCGACGAACGTAAAGAGGAATTTGAGAGAACGGAAAATATAGAACGCCCTGGATTGCTACGTCCGGAGTTGTTGCGCCCCAAGGTGGTGCGCCCGAAAGAATTCTTTCTCCTTTGAATCTCTTTGGAATTGGGAATTGATAAATTTAAAGGAGATTCGGGTTCGTTGGTACCACCGGATGTTGATGATTCGGTATCATTAAATGTACTGATCTCTGTCTCTGTCGTCGACGAAACGAAAGACGTGGAATCAAAATCTGAATTCCGAAGTTCGTTCACCCTACTCTGAATTTTCACCGCATCATGTATTATATATCCTGATTTAAAATTCGATGGTCTAACCTCGTCCTCTTCGGCGATCCTTCCTAAATATTTTTTATCTCTATCATTCGTTATTTTAATCATTGTATCATCTAAATCATCCAAAAGTTGACTTCCACGGGGAGAAATGGAATTCCCGGAATCAGAAACACATAATTCCATGTCTTCGTCAATGTATCTTTCGTCTAGTGAACTTGAACCTTTACCAGATTCTTTTGATAATCTATTTTCATTCTTTCTTGCTATTGTGTAATTTGGAGTTAACTCGTTGCGCAGGGAGATATCATTCAGAAAATCGAACAAGCGGAAAACTCCTACCACTAATAACAAGGCCAGAACCAGTGGACTTGTCTTCACGCTCATTGTAAGTTTTAGCAAAGGTATCAGGACTTCTACCTTCAAGCTTCGCCTCCGTTTTTACTCGTTCAGATTTTATCGCTTCTTTTTCTGCTGCGGTTTGTTGCAAGGATGTCGCGGACAAGGCGAGAGTCTCATCCCTCTTTTCAGCATTCAGTCTAACGCTGGAAGGATGTTTAGTCATTCTGTTCTAGGGTGCCATACAACTGTACACCCTGCAAGAAAATAGTTGAGGAAAGAGAGAAATTGTAAACGATTCGGACAAACAAGAGATCGTAGGAAACGGCGGTAGGCGTTGCAATTTGCGATGTGGAAACTGACAATTCACAAACACGCATTTATTAAGCAATTTTTTAAGTTTGCAGTCACTATGGACATTTAGAATTTAGGAAGAATTAACATTGAAGGTATACCAAAGAACGGATAAAGATAAATTTTTGGTTTCTTCTTTCTTGAGAAGGATTTTGTGAAAGAGGACCCTATAGATAGCTAAAGAATTGTGCGATAAAAAAATCTTGTGCGCACCGTATAATATGACTCAATGTTCCATTCGAATATTTGAGGCGCATATCACATACGTACACACGTTTTGCACATATAATTGCGTGGGTGGCACTAAGTTAATTAAAGACCTTACACAAAAATCCTCGTATTTTACCCCCTTTTATAGTAGGTAACGGTAGAATTTAGAATTATATGACAAGAAACGGGTTTCATTAAGGAATGATTGCGCTGACAGAGATGCATGAATTCCGAATCCTCATTACGCACGCCGTCAAGTCAGATCGTAAACTGCATCCCTGTTCCCGAAGAGAGACGCTGTTATGAAAGTGTGGCACCACGCGGTAAAAATCTTAATTAAATTAGAGTATGAAACCGCTCCAAATTTTATCATTCGCCTCTTCCGTCGAGATTACCGTGACCAGCTTAACGCTGAGGTGCGTCGCACGGCGTGTATAATTTATTTGTATCACATTAGCGTTAGAACATTTTGTAGTGAAGTCCTTCATATTGTTCATCAAACATCATTTTTTACTATTGTATTTCCGGACGTCGAAATCTGATTCGCCTGGAATTGATGTGCAACAAAGAATTCTCTTATTGCCCATTGTGAATTCTGCGAATTCCAATTCTTACTAAACTTTTTAGTCTAGTAAATGATATATGCTTAAAAATTTTTTTAATATCACAGTATTATCTATTATTAAATTTCTAATCTTATTGTGTGCTAGTATTAAGTTCTTTTATAGTAATCAAGGAAGGTAAAAAATTAATCGAATTAACTTGATAAATTGCTTTCTTGAAAAAAATATTAAATAATATTTGAATCTCTAACATTATAATAGATTTGATATAGTATATAATATATAATTAATATTGTAATATTTGTTTGTTTTTTGTTTTTTTTTTTTTTTAACCTGCAATCATGCCACAATGGCATGTCTTTATTGAGATATTGAGAAATACCTAAATATTTTACAGACTTTCACAAAGTGACTAACTCATTATAGTATATT